TTCCCATCGAAGGACTGGAAATTGGAAATCAATTTTAGCCTTTCCAAAGTTGAATTTTATAGAAATTAATTAATTACCTCATTAAATTTAAATTGTAATTAAAAATTTTAATTGTATAAATATTAAATTATTTCATCGATTTCTTATTTCAAATTAAACGCAAAATTGCTTTAAAGAACTTCGGGAAAATGGTTAAAATAAACTTTATTAATTACTGGATTGGATACGCATTTTGTGTATTTCCATTCCTCGTACACAAATATCTGGCAACTTAAATGATATTACAGTATAACTGTATTATTCGACTGTGTAATTTAATGCAAAATTAAATTAAAAAATCTGTAATCATCTGGTAAACTAGCAAGTTTGTTGTGCCCTTTGGATAATTACAATCGGACAGAACCGTATGATAACTAAACGTAATAGGGTGGAGTCTCTATAGTCCGTCCGACACGTCCAGTAATCCGGCGCTTGCACGAAATCGACGTGTTACTACTTGTCGATGTACTGTACAGTATGTAACGGAGAGACTAGTTGTTTATTACACGTTCGGCAAAAAAGTCACAATCGTGACTAGTACGATAAACTAACCCATAAACCAAGTACATTTTTTATTATACAGTACGTACAAACCGACACATCTGTAATTTCACACCCGTCGGTCCGAAATATGTCGGATTACAGAGATTCTATTGTGGGTAAGTGGATAAACCACCGAACACTGGCTGGTAGTGGGTTCGCGCTTGTTACGTGGATGTTTGTAACACCTAAATAGGGCCAGTTTTCTATAGAAAGTTCTCCTACTGTACTAACAAAAGAACAGGAAGTTACTCCTGTAGTTAATTAATATTTTATTTGAATTAATGCGCCTTAACGTGTAATTTCCACGGATTTGATCGGCTCCTCGACGAAAGAGAAAATTCGCAAGTAAACGTTTAAAACGATTAATGAACGTGACGAAATTTCTCGTGTTATATTTAACAAAAGAAGCTATTTATATTTATTTACATTAGCTATAAATGTCCAGATAAATGATCTCTTACGGCATTTATCCTACTGTAGAGTCGATTGTGCAGATGCTCCAAGAGAGTAAACACTCTATTCTGGGTTCAAGGAACATTTCGCTTCCAATGTCAAGCAGATTTTCTCTTTTCTTAAGATAATTAAAAGGGTTAAACCAAAATAGAACAACCTTTAATCATTGAAAAAAAAAGAGGAAAATCGACTTCATTTCCATTATGGAAATTAATATAATGGCGCATTAAACATCCCAACTAACAATATTTCGTTTAATATCACGATCGTTGCTGCTATTTATGATCATTAATAAGTCCAAAATTAGTTACTTAAGCCAGTCGTTACGTGTTTAATGCAGGCCAAGTAGCAAATTTAACTGTAAATTGCAAGTTTAACGGTAATCTGTAACAGTTAAAGATTTATTTTTTCTATAAAAAGTAGAATTTTATAAACTTGCGCAACTGTTTTCTCGGTAGTTTAATATTAGTAGCTCCATTTTTACTCCTTGGAGAGGTCCTGAAGAGTTTCTATCTATGAAGATGGTAAAATATTATATGAAATATTGGCATTGTGCCATAGGATTTTTATAAAAGTTCTCTCGATCGATTTTTCATTCTAGCGGGGTAGTTGGCTTTGATGTCCTTTCTTTTTTTTTCTACGTCTAAAAATATATATCTTGTAACTATTTTTATCCGGAACGAATATATCACGACCTGTAATTAGTCGTATTAATTATAATATGGTGTATTATTCTAATTTTATCGCGTTTTATTCCATTAAAAGCGTGCAGTCGATCGTGCTCTTATCTAACTACGTGCAACTTACTTTCCATTTTTCTATATGCAATTAATGTTTAACAGACTTAACGAGATTGCATTTATTGCAGTAAAACCTGTGTAAGACGGAATCGAACGATACAGAATATCTTTTCCGTTTTGGACACGTTTCTTTTTAACGTAAAAAATATTGCTCCGTTCCAACAATTTTTTTCCGTTTAAGCAGGTTCCGTTTTGGGCAGGTTTTATTTTTTAACGTAGAATATACTGAAATTTTCCGTTTTAAACAGGTTTTTAAACAGAAAATCTCTCCGTTTCGAGTATATTTTTCGTGTTATTCGGGTTCCGTTTTAAGCAGGTTTTTAAACAAAATCGCTCCGTTTCGAGGATATTTTTCGTGTTATTCGGGTTCCGTTTTAAACAGGTTTTTAAACAAAAAATCGCTCCGTTTCGAGGATATTTTCCGCTTTACTCGGGTTCCGTTTTAAACAGGTTTTTTTAAACAGAATAGCTGCGTTTTGAGGATATTTTCCGTTTTATTCAGGTTCCGTTTTAGACAGTTTTTACTGCATATACATAAATGTAAATAAAACAAAATATTCCAATCGCATGTTGATTTTGTAACTGGAAGAGCCATTTCTAAAAATAACAATTTTTGCTTACTTAAAATTAAAATCTTTGAATGATTTTGTTAAAATAATATTTATATTTTAAAACTGTTTTGTTTTTTTAAATGTTTTAAATACCGAATTTTAAAAAATAAAAAGAAAAAAAAAAGTAATAAAATAATTAACTTTTAGGTATCAATGGCTGATAGTGAAGCACTAAAATGGCTTATCTCTTATTATTTTTTGTTAGTTTAAATGTTTTATAAGTCCTTCAAACAAGATTATTTTTAATTAATCTATCATTTTCTGTATGCAAAGCCGTATTTAGGCCCTAATACGAGGCCCTAAATTGTAACAATGGTCCGACATTGTCAGGGACATGACTTTATTTCTAAAACGATTTAGCCTATATCCATTGCTCATTTATTAAATTAAGGGCTTCTTATAGTTTAAGTCCCTTTCTATTGTTTTTGTATGTGTATTTAGTTAAATAAATGCACACACAAAAAAAATAATATAAACAAAATTATATATTTTTTTACGTATTAATATGTAGGGGAGACCGGGGCAACTTCGGCATGCGGGGCAAGTTTGTCAAGCGCTTTTTTTTTAAAAACAAATTATAAGGAGACTTTGGTTATAGGTTAGGCAGTTGAGTTTTATTGGTGGCTTGTTGAGTGTAGTGTTTTTATTGTTCTCCAACAAGCGTAGTTGAATTATCAAGCAAATTTTCATTTTCGTTCAATTCCATATAATATTTTTTTTCCATTTATATTGAATTGGCAGGTTTTGTTATAATTCCATGATAACGAAAGTTACTTTTCCTGTTAGAAGGATGTAACTTCAACTTATTCACGTGGCCAGATCGTGGCTTGGCATTCTGTTCTCAGGGTTGTACTTAATGTTTCGAAATCATGACTAGCGGGGTAAGATCGGCAACATAAAGCCACATTAGAAGCAAAGGATAAAAATCAAACAGATGATAAATGAAAACATGTTTGCATTTGTTATTCATGTATATATGTCTTTGAACTTGCATTTCGTTGTAATAATATTAAATGGGTGTTGGATTTGTATTTCTTTGTTTTAATAGTGAATTCCAACTTATACATTGTTAATAACATAATTTTATATACGTGCCTATCTTGCCCCATTACTGTTGCCCCTATACCAGGGGCAACTTTAATAAAAATAATTAAAATAATTACAACTTTACAAAAAGAGAGAAGTTGCCGATCTTGCCCCTATACCCGGGGCAACTTCGTCAATTTCTCTCTTCTTGTAAAGTTGTAATTATTTTAATTATTTTTATTTCCAAACTGATTTTAACCAGTTCTATAGTAAGGTAACATTACAATAGACAATATGCAAAGCTTTTTTTTCAGTTTACAGCAGTATTTATTACACAAAATTTAAGTAAAGCTTAACATGCCGATCTTGCCCCGGTCTCCCCTATATATTTTACACGTGTCATTTGTACATTACACAATACTTTAATATACAGTCCAACCTTCAATAAATGCAACCTGTAAACGGCGGACAGTCTTTTCTTTTATAGGAATTAATGTTTTCGATATTTTTAGAATTCTGTTTTAATTTTTTTTCTGTTGGAAGTGAATATTTTTCTTTTTTATTCGTTGTTTTATTCAATAAGTAATGGTTTTTACCCGCAAACTATTCTTAGTTCTTAAACGAATTTTAAATTGTAAAAAGTCACTTTTTTTCCCTAGAAAAAAAGAAATCAAATATTATAGAATCTAATGCGTTTTGACAGGTGACGAAGATTACTTTTCAATAAGGAGTTATCTCTCTTTTTCTTTTATTCAATAATAATTTATATATATAAGCCAGCCATGTCTGTCTATAACGCCCTAGATTTTATTATTATTATTATTATTATTTGAATTATTGCAACGTCAAGCGATCGTTTGTCTGTCCGTAACGCAGTAGATATATATTAATTGAACGTACGGTATTTAAAACATTTCTAAAGAAGCGAATTATGAATTAATCTACTTAAAAAACGGTAATAAGATTAACGGATTATTTTTCCAAAAAAGAACTTTAATCCCGTTTATAATTAGAATTAATTTAAATGGTAGAAAATTAAGTCTATCCGAATTATCTTCAATAATTAATTGTCGGTATTTAATGACAATTTTTCGTGTTATTCGCTTGTAAAAACACAAGTTTAATTAATAAACTATAACTAAAAAACATAGTTTTATATATTAAAAAAATATACATTAAATTGGTCCAGGGAGTAACCAAAATTTCATTTTTAAAATGATCTTCGCATCCCTTAGTTACAATGTTATTGATTTTATATGGTCTATATATATGTGAAAGAATGCAATAGGTTCTTAGGCAGATTGCGTGGACGTGCTAATCTGTTATATCATCAGAATGTTTGCGTGACATCCTCCAAATTCTAAGGAGCAATCAAAACCGAAGGCATTCTAAATTACTTTCTATCAGGCGCGTTGTCGGTTACATAAACAGTTAAAGTAGTATTGTGCGTAGAAATCTTATTAGATATAATCACGTTGGAATAAGTTATGCAAAGTTTTCTTTATTATTATTATTTTTTCTTTAATAGGCTGCAACAACCAGTGAAGGAAATTACACAGAATTATGCCATCCTTCCTACGTTAGTTCCTCCGAAAATCAAAATTTTCTCGAAGCTGATCTACGTTGCCTTTTTAAAGGTAAGAATTCACTATCCTTGTTTTAATTTACCGGCTTTTAAAGTAACAGGATTGTAGGATTAAGGCAACGTAATACAGGGCGATCTGCCTGGACGAACAGACCATTTAGGATTGTAGGATTAAGGCACACAGGGCGATCTGCCTGGAGGAACAAACCATTTAGGATTGTAGGATTAAGGCACACAGGGCGATCTGCCTGGAGGAACAAACCATTTAGGATTGTAGGATTAAGGCACACAGGGCGATCTGCCTGGAGGAACAGACCATTTAGGATTGTAGGATTAAGGCAACGTGGCACGTGTCTTAAGTCACGAGACCCCGTGGATGAAAAATTCTTAAATTTGGCAGGTATATCCTTATATGTGGAGCATTGATGCCATTACATATTGGAGATTATAAGTCGAGGAGAAAGGGTGATAGAGGGGCTAATTAGGACTCATAACTTAATGAATATTGTCTCGTTTTTTATCTTATTATAATTACTTTCACCCCAAAAAATAAGGCCTTCAACCTCCTGTTTGGAGTGCCATTGTTTAAACTAGAGATACATTTTTTTTCTAGCCTTATATAAACAATATCAAAATTAGTAACGTACAGTACAGCACGTTAATCCCCATTTACGTAAAGTAACGTATATTATCAAATATTCTGTTGACTTAGTTAGTGACGCGAGGTTTTGTTTGAGTTGTTTTAACTGGCAAACTGAAGGTCATCTGATATTGAAGATTATTTATAACTGCACGGAGGACAGACACACTCTCACTCTTCATAAAGACCAACAAAAACTATTTAAATCTATGTAAAATCGCTCATTAAACGTTAATAAAACCCACCAAACTTACATTTTACAGTAAAACCTGTGTACGGCGGAATGTGTTACTGCATTTTTCCTGTTTTATATAGGTTTTTTTTATACTCTCCTGTTGGAAATTCGTACGGAAGAGACCCTTAACAATCTGCGAAACTTAAATAATACATTAAACCTGTATAAAACGGACTAACACGGTATCTATTTTACCGTTTTAGACGGGTTTATTGTACAGACTTAAAATAAAAACTAACAAAATTTAAATTATACTGTAAAAACCGGTGTAAACCGGAAAGGCAGGGTGCCGAATTTGTTTTTTTTTCGCTTTGACAGGTTTCCGTTTTAGACAGGTTTTACTATACTTTTAGTATTTCGTGTCGATTGTAGACCCTTAAAACACACTGGGAAAAACTCATTTCGATTTTTAAATTACACAGTAAAACCTGTTTAAACAGGTAAAGAATTTTTTCCGTTTTACACAGGTTTTACTACAATATCTAGTATAGAAAATAATCATTTACTTTAAAAATTGAAGTACTCGGGTCGTACCATTTGAAATTTCGATTATTAATGGTGCTCGCTATTATTAAAATGGCGGAATCTTATAAAAATCGAATATGGCGTATAAAAATTCGGGTAAATAATCGATACGGCTTTTATAGTAAAGCTTTAAAAACAATATGAAGATGTATTGGCAGTTATACTTTAGCGACATTTCTTCTCTTTATCAATAGATCAACGCCAAAAATGGAATAACTCACCATAATTCATAAACATTTTATATCTACGAATGGATAGAAAAATAAAATAAAATTGAATTTTTATTTTAAAAAAATAACAGCTAAATTTAATTCACTAATTTAAAGCATTTGTAAATGATGTTTTTACGTTTCTTTGACGGCAATTTTATGTTGACGGCCGAACCTCTCAACAACGGACACCGACGGAAACATAAAATTGGCCGTTATTTAGAGGTTATTTTGAACTCATTAAAAGAAAAATTCCTAAAGAAGTGGCCGTTATTTAGAGGTTATTTTGCACGCATTAAAAGAAAAATTCCCAAAGAAGTGGCCGTTATTTAGAGGTTATTTTGCACGCATTAAAAGAAAAATTCCCAAAGAAGTGGCCGTGGTTTGGAGGTTATTTTATATGTATTTTAAGAAGGAACGTATATATATACGTTCCTTCTTAAAATATGTATATATGTGTATATATATATAGAAATAATAGAAATAATAGAAAAATATGTATACTACATATTTTTCTATTATTTGAGATAATAATCTTTAATTATTATTTATATTTTTGACATAAATTTTACAGTTAACCTTAGAAAAACATGTTTTTCTCATTAATAAAATTTTATATTTAGATATTTATAAATATTTACTGTATCTGGTAAGACTTAATTATATTTATATGATTAATTAAAGCACTCAGACCATTATTTTTTAATTAAATAAATATTATAATTTAAAAACAAAAATAAAAATTGAAGTAATTTGAAGTAATAATTAGCCTAACCTCTGAACGACGACCATCGACGGAAATATAAAAAAGTGGCCACTTTCGCAGATTGTTTTATAAGCGTTTTTGTTAAAAAAAAAAAGAAAAAAAAGTTCCTGAAAATTGTCCGCTGTTTACAGATGGCCGTTGTTTGGAGGTTACTCTATACAATGGCGCGTAATAGCTTCATGGAGCCCAGACAAATTCGAATTACGAGGCTCCATATACAGTTATAAAAGATTGGTTGGGCCTCTCGACTTTAAATACATTTTTGACCCCCCAAAAAAAAGAAAAAAATGCCCGCCGTTTGGAGGTGACCGTTGTTACAGGTTCGACCGTATTTTAGTAAGAAATTATAAAAAAATTTTGCATAGAAAATACAAAATTTGCATTAAGATTATAGGAGTTATCGGGTAGGAAGGGCACACAAAACTACACTCGAAAACTCCCCCCTCCAAAAAATCGTAGAATTAATTAACACAGAAAGACAGAAGCATTTTACATTAAAAATATATCACATTTTCCTACTTTAAATCAGCAAAAAAATATCAAAAACTGTGCAAAAAATATTAAGGAATTAAGGCAAGTCTTGGCAATAATAACATTTTAATGATTCCTTGAAAAATGTACTGACAGCCTTCGAGCCTAACCTTGCATTATTAACAATATCTGACCCTGATTGATGCATGTTTTTGCACTCGCATTGTTTGCATATTAAATAATAAAACCGTTAAAACTTAAGAGACAACGATTTAATAATTATAATGGTAACAAGCTCGAGAATAACTTGACATGGGTTAAATTCTTTGCATAATAACTTTGACATTTTTTTGAATATTTTAAAAGGCCGTATTTTTTTTGCATGAGACTAAACAAAGTATGGACTCCACCCTTGGTTGGCCAATTCTAAAAATAAAGTAAGCGACACACCTGCATATAACAATGGTTTCCGTTTTGTTAATCAACGTGGATATATCATGTAGGCCTGTCGAAACGGTGGTCAATCTTCTGTATCTGGGGAGGCCCCTCCGAAGATTTTGGGGCCTCCTAGATGAAAATTACAATAATTTCCAAGCTTTTACAGTATACAGAATTGAATTTTCCTACTTCAATTATGTATACTGTAAAAACTCGATAATTAAACGATGGCCATTTTTAAGCGTTAAAAAATTAAAAAAAATTATGCTAAAATACAGTAAAATAAATTAAGAAAATTACTGAAGATGTAAATAATCAAATACATCAGAAATTAAGCTTTTATATGCAGTTTACAGTACATTTCTAACGTGTATACAGCCGAAGTTATTAGAGTTTAATGACTTAAGTGAATTTATATGCAATAAATCGCGTTTAAATCTTAAAGAATTTTGGGAGAAAATGACCGTAAAATACCCCAAATTGTCTCGCGATAGTATACTGTTAGTGGCATTTGTTTATCAATTAAAAAAGTCAATTAGGAAGGGAAGTATGTCAAAGAGCCTTCAGCATCTCTACATACTTCTATCCTCTAGGGATGTTCTAACTGCTCTTTTTTTATCTTCCTAATTGAATTGTAAGGTAATTATTATTAGAAGGACGATTTATATATTTGTTATTTTACCTTTTTTTATGTATAAATTGCTAATTTTTTTTAAAAAAAAAATTAGCAATTTATTGACTAATTTATACAGGAATACTTGAAGAATTTATACAAAAACCCTCTTCGGGTTTATTCTAATGTATTAATTATGGATATTTCGAGCTTTTAATTATATAAAAATAAATATTTGTTGAATTTTTTTAGAATTTATATAAATAATTAACCTTTAATTTAGTTAATTAATTATCAAAATAACATAAAAATTGCATTTTTAGAAGCTATTTTGACGATTATTCGACAGGAAAATTGTTTAACTAAAATTATGTAATTTTATTAAAATTCAATTACATAATTTTTACAGGGATAATATTTACGTGTATTTTTATATAAAAATAAAATGAATATTTGTGTTAAATTCAATTATATTAACGATAAGGAGATTCTCCGTATGTATTTTGAGTGACACATTTTCATTCCTCGATGGATAATTGTTTTAATAGTTTTATATAACAAATAATCTCTTTATTTTTTAGTGATAAATGTCATTATAAATCTTAAAAATATACTTTTTTATTAGAAAAATATAGCATACAAAGCCGATTTTCTCTATTAATATTTACTATAACTCTATTCAAGTAGCATCTCGCAGCATCCTCAAATTATCGGGAAAAAAATCTGTTGAAAATTGTAATAAAAAATTGAATAAATGTATATATATATAAATTAAAAAAACACTAAGTTGTGATTTATATGTGATGAATTTCTTATCGATTGTTTCAGAAGAGAATGGAGCTTCAGAGAAAGAAGCGAACGTCAGTCCTTCAAACAGCAAAAGGTAATTTTGGTTGTGTCTAACGCTTAACAATACCCCTTTCATTTGATGGAGTATTTTGTGTACTTTTCTTAGGACCTTGGTCAAACCAACAGAAGACTTAATTGGCATCCATCGTAACCATCTCCTCCAACAAGAATTAAGAGTAAGTGCTAGCAATTCTTATATGATATAAGCTTTCCAACTGTAACTAGGTCAGAAAAAAATCATTCGCCTGCGAGAAGACTCTTCTTTCATAACAAGACCCAATGATCTATATATATATAAATATATATAAAGTCACCCTACTAAGTTTGCCCTCTTTTAAATTTTAATATTATAAATTACGGCTTGTTAATTATTTAAATTTTAAGTTTTTAAAGCCGTAAATCCGTTTCTCATCTTGCTCTTCTTCTAGTGATCCGTTTCTCTTAATGTACTAATGGATGGATTGTATGCGGATTTATACGTTTTTAAGAATTTTCTCTGTATATTTATACATAAAAATGAATAAATTATTAATATTTTAAGGAATTTTTTAACGTATTTAGTTTATAACCTCTCAAAGATTGCATATAAGCAAGCGTATACAAATTCATCTCTTAATGATTGCTTGTATGTGTTTCCTTATCTTATCCGTGCATATTTGTGTATAAAAATGATTGAAACATTAATATTTTAAAGCAAATCTTCGAGATTTATTTATATATTTAGTATATTTTACGTCTAAAATTAAAAAAAATGGTGATTGAAGTAGGTCTTTGGAAAGAATCGCCAGTCAATTATAAGCTATCCATTTAGATTATTATTGTTCTTGGCCTAATTACTTGAGCCATAATAAATGGATTAAGTGGTTCGATTGTTTTGATACACAACTTGTTGCATTACTTGCATTTCCTGAAGACTTAATAACATAGAATGGAAGATATGAATGGATAAGATAAATTGTTTTAACTAAAGTAATTGCCATCGTTTTATTTTTAATCGTTTCCTGTTCCACTTTTTGTTTTTTTCTACGCTTCTGTTCTTTGGATTTTATACAAATATTTTATTATGTTTAACTTTATTTAACTTGTATATCGGTAAATATATTAATATTCTGGTATAATAATTCGGTTTATTTTATTGACGCACGACAGAAACGAGTTAATAAATCGCGAAATGTCGTGACTATAAACAAATGTCACATTTGATCCATCATACTCGAATGGAAATTTGCAAAAATGTTGAGAAAATGAGGGAATAATCAATTAAAATTTCGAAAAAATTGTCTCCTGACTCTGTTTTTTTCGTATATATAAAGCCAGAAATTGAAAAAGGATGAGAAGAAGTCTCCTGTCATCTTTTAGATATGGACCTCATCCCTCTCGCCTCTTAGTTATGGACCTTATCCCTCTCGTTTCTTAGCCAGGGAACCTAGATTTCGCGGATTTGGACCTCGTCTCTTACTTATGGATCTTAGACCTTGTGGATTTGGGCCTCATCTCTCTCATCTCACTTATAGATCTTAGATCTCGTAGATATGGACCTCACCGCTCTAAAAAACTAAAAAATATACGAATAAAATCCATTAAAAACGAATTTTTTTTTAAATATAAAAGACTAAATTTTTGTGAGTCCTCTGTGTCTAGGATAGATTCAAATGTCCCTGCTAACATCCCTTTATCTGGACCCGTATTATTATTATTATTATTATCCGGATAAACAACTTCATTACATGTAAAATTCAGTATAATTAAGTTGTTTATTCAGCAATTTAAACAACAGACAAGCTGACGGACGTACAAAGTGAATACAAAATTCTAACTCCGCTCATTTAATTTCCGAGAAATCTTACACACACAGACAGATAAATAAACGAAGAAATCAATACAAAAAATCCATTCAAACGTAAAATAATTGTAATTAAAATAATCTTTAGAATATTCTAAATAAACATGAAAAAAATAAAAGTTTAAATCTACATTTCCTGATAAATATATTATTTAAGAAAGTTTAATAGTTTATCAGCATCCCAAACACATTTGCTATTGCCGAGTAAATCCCTTCCCACCAGAAGCGAAGTTTAATGTAATTTGTTTTCTAATTTCGTTTAACTTATCGCCATTAATCTAGTATAAATGCAAATCCACTTATTGTAAAAGAATGCTTCAAACGGAATTCTGATGCAAGATTAGTTACATGTTTCAATCACGCATCACAGGGATCGTTAGAGGATACTGATCCAGCATCACTCAACAGCGATTTAAACGTCTCCAAATCGATTTTCGAGGTTTAAAACATATTTTTTTTCACTCTACCAAGCTATAAATTATTAGATTTTTAGCCGTTTGCTCGAAAAAATAGGAATTTTTCACCCCATTCTAATGCTCGATCTGGTTTATCTCTTGCTTGGGATTTATCCTTTATCTCGTCTCCATCTTATTTTTTTTTTAAACCACCTGCCCTAATTAAACGTCTAATTCTGGTTACGGTATAATTATAGGTTTAATTATCTTTGGAATTTTAATGATTATTAATGATATCTGCCTAACGTACGTAATGAAAAGACGAATATAGGTGATGCTATCACGCATCAATGATCGTTAGCAGCTGGAATATTTTTCGGATAGTGTTGCGAGTGTGTAAATTATATTTCTCCGAAGAAAAATCCAACCTTAAATGGACGAAAGAGGGACGTTACGAGACATTTTAGCAGCTGGTAACGACAAAACACCATCGTCAGTACGTGTTACTTTATGAGTTATGACAGCCAACAACATTTTTTCGGTCGGGCGAACACGTGTTATGACGTATGCTTTTAATAAGTGGAGTGTCAAAGGACAGAAAATTTGTTACAGATCTGCCGGGTGACCTCCTCTTCCTCCTCTTTTTCTTCCATCATCTGAACGTGGAGGATCGCCACCGACTAGAAAAATTGAATCAATCCCAAGCAGCGATTGATGGCATCCTTCAAGGCTAATTTCACATCCGACCGTTCTTCAAAGCGGAGAAAATAAACTAGAATTGTTACAGAATCTATCAAGAAGGTATGACGTCACTCCTTTTTATAAAAGAGAGAGAAATTCTCGTATATAAATTAGCTTAATGATGTCCACCGCTTACGTTTTTCTTCACAAGATGGCGTTACCATGATTCACTAGCATCACGCAAGATTTGACAGATGTTGCACGAGAGATGTCATCCGGAGAAGAGTTATTTTATTATTTAAATTATTAATTTATTATTATTATATATTTTTTTAAAGTTTTCAAACGAATTTTCAGTATAAATATTTCTCTTAAATTAAAATATAGGACCGGTTAATTAAAAGATAACAAGGATGAAGGATGAAAGCGATTGATAAGGGATGAAAACTACACTCAAATTTCACACTTTTTTCCGATTTTTATACAGAAAATGTTATTTTTTCTATATAATATTGTCCGGAATGTCAAAATTTGTTTATTAATTTATTCGTTTGTGAGTTTTAAAGGGAGTGAAGCGTTAGAGTTTAAGAATTCGCCTTTAAATCGAAGAAAATTCGATAAAATAGCACGAAAAAACTTGTAAGATTGATCAGAATCGAATCGGTTTGCATTGCATGACGTTCGGAATTGTAAAATTCCTACATATATATTACTTCACATCATACGTTAAATGGGGTGCAGCTGCCAATCTTATGCTAAGTCCAACAACATCGATTTTAAATAATTTTTTTATATATATATAAAAATAACATAAATATAACAAAATATATATAAAATAACCCTTCTAAATTTAGTTACAATAATCAATATCCGGGAATTATGTATAAGAGTCGAAAGATGGAAGAAATTTTTGACTGTAGCTTCGTTATTATGGAAAAATATCGTATTTTTTTTCAATAAATTTTATCACAGATTTGTTTTTTTTTTAGATTAATATTCGAAATTTTTAACAATTTTAAAGTCAATTCTTCCATTTCTGTCGATGGTGCAGTAAGTTTTCATCAAGAAAAATCGAAGGAATCAGCAAATTTTAGGAAGGAAACTGCATGAAATGTTTCTTCTAAAAATTGCTAAATGTTTAGAAGATATTTTCGTCTTTATCCCCTTCAACCTCATTAAGATATGTTTAATTTTTCTCCTTTATCTTCAATCGTTTTCTATTTTGGTCTACGTGCCAATTACAATATGGAATTAACCACTAGAATATCACTATAATACGATGCTCGGTAGCAAAGTTTTCAATTAAGAATGAAGTTAAATATTCTAAATTACACGAATTTATACAAAATTTATCATTCTAAAGCTGAGTTTTAATTAATATTCCATTTATAGAATAAATCCGTGAAGTCGGAGAGCATCACAGCATCATTTATCATGGATCGGCTCTTAAGTAAAGATCATTTATAACCGATTTATCTTGGAGAATTTTATTATTTAATTATTATTATTATTTTTTTAAAAGAAGCATTTAATGATATTTAAATTGATATAAACTTTAACGTTTCCACGTATTTTTTTATTTTTATTTTTCTCATTTAAATCTAACTAATTGAGCAGCGATTCTTATCCCATCCTCTCCTTTCACTTTACTTAATTAACATAACTAAATATTTATTAAGCTATTGCTATTTTTGGAATTTTTCAGCATCCTTATTAGATTTGTATAGGATTTTTCTTAAGAAGAATCCAGAGTTTCGATACAGAACAAACAGAATCTTTGTTTAACTAACGGATACGCAGATTGGTTAAAGATGCTATTATTTTGGTGATTAAATACTGTAATCATCCAAGTAAATTTAGCGAGAGAAATAAGATTTTAAGATTATTTAAAGGATTTTTCATTGTTTTAAAATAATTATATTAATCCTCTCCGACAATACAAATTGGAAAATGCCTTCTCCATGATGATGAAGGGAGTTTTATTGTATGCTTCTTATAGTTATTGGATAACTTAAAGGATAAATCAAGCGTAAATACCTTCTTCTACTACATCAAAATCTTCTTTCTTTTCGATTGAATTTTTATGTTTTCTAGGAGATTTTCTATGTTTTTTACTCGATAAATCTCTTATTCATTGCCTTTTTCTCATATTAGATTAACTGGTTCAATAGGCTAATAAGTAACCTAGATTTAAATTTACTTATTCATCGAATCCCAGCATGATGCAAGCTAAAATAATGGAAATTGCTAATTAACTAAACTTCGTAAAAGTTGTTGGAAAGTTAATTAGGAATTTTTCATTTATATTCGAGTTTACAATGCTCAATTTATACCTTTAAAAATAAATATGAATATTCTAATTATCCCACTTCAATTTGATAGGGAGGAGGAAGAGGAGGTTAACGTTTTGATGGTTTTTTTCTACGATTTCTCACGAAATTAGCTCAGAAATTTAACAGAAAAATGCTTCAGAATCGATGTTTGGATGATTCTTTACTTCTCAACTTAAAAAAACTCTTCAGTTCTTGAAAGTAAATTAAAACCAAACTATAATTCCCTACTGAATTTTCTCGTCTGATAGAAATTTCCTCACTCTTCGAGACGTTTTTTTCTTTTTTTTTTTCTATTCTCTACAATAACTTATTTTCATTTAAATTAGGAATTCAAGTAGACGAATGAAATTCTCTAACGACTCGGTTCCAATCTAGACATTTAAAATAATAATAATAATAAGAATAAAATAAGAATGGCGACTTCTATTCTTTTCCAGATGTCTTCTTTGTCTTCTAGCATCCGATTCTTATGTATTTCTATATTGTGACACGAATAGAATTCAATTTTTGACATAAAAAAATACATATCGACTGGCTTATTTTAGTAGGAATAAGAAGAAACGACTCTATAGTAACGTAAAGGATCAAGTTTCTTAAGGATTGTCCTTAAGCTTTACAAATCCTTCGTGGAAGAATTCGACTCAACCATTCCGAACGGAAAGAAATCATCGAAATTTATCGATAAATGGATTTATTTTGAAGAAAAATAAATAATAATTCGATCATTTATATATGATTTGATTTACAAGCGAAAGAATATTAGGTAAAAATTCTATCTAGAAATAGAAAGTGGGCAACGCGTGCGGGAGGAGTGGTTGATGTGTGTCACCAAAGTGTCATCTGCAGCTGTTGTGCTCTCCCTTCGACACCAATTGACAGTCTCGACAATCGACTAATTTCATCATCCTCTAAATTTTGATAATTCTGATAAAATAACAACTTTACTATATCCTTTATTATTGTCTGTCTGTCTGTCTGTCTACAATTTAAACATCTTATCACGAGATTAAACGTCGTAAAAAATATGTAAAATTATTTAATGTTTTTTTTTCTTTTTAATGGATATTTATTTATATTTTTTGCGGTGTGTTAAGAGCTTTTCTAAGAGGTTTTTATACGTAGGAGGCTTTTGCTCTCGTCTCGAATATCCTTTTATCATCGATCGGACGAGAGAGGGCGCTGTTGTTTTATAAGTGGAACGACGTTGCAGTCGGTAGTCAAATGGCTGTCGATAGTCGATACGTTGGTTTCTACGGTTTTTACTCGATGTGATGTGGTTGGTGCGCGGATTCCAAGTTATCCCGAAATTTCTCTTTCATGCAATTACAAAGAACGCCTAGTTTGAAAGCCGTTATAAGAGCTGGATCCAGAATGCTTAAAAGGGTCCATTCTCACATTAAAGTCAGGAAGTCTTCCCATTTGGAAGTCGGCCTAACTACGGTAAGCTCCAAACTTTTACCTCCTCCTCCTCCTCATCATCTTTATTATCAATAATTAAAAGATGCTCGAATTTTACGATAAAGGGTGATGAATTATACACGTTAGAACGGGGGAAATTGAAGTAAACTTTTAAATGTTTAACTATAAAAATCTCGTTTTTATATTTATATTTGAGGAAGTATTTAGTCACGGTTTGTCAACCACTGAAAATAACTTGAGAAAAATCACCATAGCAACTTGTATTTGAGGGGAAACTTGTTTCCTTTTAGCGACGTCATTCTTTCCAAGAAAACAGCAGGTTTTACAATTTAAAAAACTATTTTTATCGCCTCTTTTCTCTTCTTTTTTTTCATTTCATTCGAATTTTTCAATACTTTAATCACTTAACATAGCTTTAGGTTTGTGTGTGTGTATATATATATATATATAAAAACCCACCATTCATCGATTTTATATCGTTATTTTTCTATTGAAACTAGCTTTTTTATAAAGTAGGAAACTTTTATGGAGAGAATTATATACGTAAATACTCGCGGATTGTTATATACAAGTGAAAAATTCGAGTTAATTTCGACGAATAATTACGCACTAAACAGTAATTCGAGATAGATTAGGTGATTAAAATTATACTCGAAACATTTCTAAATGATATCGTTAATGAACCGAATCGATAATTACCGAAATATGGTGAAAATTATATTGAAAATTTTACATTGAAAACTTTCTTAATGACATCGTTTCATTCTTGTTTAATACGCCTTTTAATTTATAAAATAGTAAACAAATTGACTAAAATATCTTAAAATTAACCATTTCTAATACTAATTTGAAAATTTTTGAGGTTTTTAAGTTAATTTATTAAGCGAATAAGCTTTAAAATTAAATTTGATCAAAAATATCCTGAATTTCGTCTTTCCCTCTGAAATCTTCGGCTGACAGGAGAAACAACATTTACAGGGGCAACTCTCCGGGGAGAATAGTTTGTTAAGTATTGATGCGTTTATTTGAGTGTTTATTTAAAGTAAAATTCATTAAAATTATAAAACGTTAAGTAGAAATGTCTGATTTCTAGTTAATTTTTTCTCTCGAGTAAAGTGACCTTAAGCTGTAAATCCTTAAATCCGGATAAAGGAAATGTTATTCTTCGAAATAACCTTTGTCATTTTGATGATTCTGAGGATCTCTTCCTGATCGAAGCTTACAGGAAAGTGGTATTTAGTTGCATGTTGACTATAAGATCGCCGACAAAAGACCGAACCTTGTTATAAATAGAAAATTTAATTTAATTATCAGAAATTATTCGCTGATGCTCTCTTGTTAATAGAATTTTTAATATGGGTTGTATTAATATAATAATAGAAATTAATTTGATTAGATTTTTTTTCTCCCTACTCGTCCATCTCTATAACTTCTAACGTATTTTAATACAGTGGGCTTTTAAACTACTTAACACGGTACTTGACTTTCAGATTGCGTGCTTTGTGCACCCATCATTCCCAGATGTCACGCGCCTTTCTTACTTATCCTGCTTCATCCCCTCTTTTCTAAATGTTAAATATTCTCCCCCCTCTCCCTCCTCGGGTAAATATTCGACTTATCTTTACCTCGTCACTCCTCATCAACCATTTAGATGCTTTAATGCATTCGTTATGCCGTTGTTATCTTTCGTTATTCGAATCTGTGGGGATTTGTTGCTTACTTTCTCCCTTCTTTTCTCACTTACGTGTGTTTATTGATTATTATTAACTTCTTGTATCTATTGATCACCGACGTATAAATCGATTAAGATATGTCTCGAGCTTCTCCTTTCACTCTACTGTTTGGAAATGGAGCTATTTAAATCGTTTTAACAATAAATTAAGGAAGTTGGCGGTATTTTCGAAAGTTAAAGAAAAAAAAAAATATATATATATATATAATCCGTCAACGGATTTCTGATTAATCCTGTAATTCCGGATCCGATTTTCTTTACGGAACACGAGCATTCTATCGTTGTATCCTGTTATCATTTGTAAACAGTTGTTCTCTCTTCTCGAATCAACTTGTATCGTGTCTATCAATAGACAATTTTTTGAAAGTTGGATTAAAAGAAAACAATATAAATCTATATTAGTTCCATCAAAACTTTGTTTTTAATCTGTTACAACTGACTTTAATGGAAACAACGACCTTTCTCCTTCTTTATCTTCTATCAGAATTCTTCTTCTTCCAGAAATATCAAAGGGGGGAATCATTTATTTTTTTTTCTATTTTTTGTCTTATATTTTAAATTGTAGACCCTCGATTTAACGGAATAATTGAAGAAGGTGGTTTCTTCTATTGCCAAAAATTCGTTACATCGGGGTTCGTTAAATGAAAGTAAAAATGAAGTGGAAAGTTTTCTTTTTTTACGATTTAGGAAACGACGAAATACTGCTTAAAACAGTTTTAAAAGATAAAATAAAGAATAAAATTTATTAATAAAGCAATGCATTAAAAGTTTTCATTTAATTTATCTGTTGATTTTAATTTCAATGTTTACTGACTGCATTTAAAAGTTTGCTTTTTATATACCATTAGGACGTTAAGATTTAATTTAAAATATACAAATTATGGCTTAGAATTGTTGACTTAATTTTATATTTAATATAATTTTCGAGAGGTAAATATTTAGAGAGAATTATTTTCAGGCTCATCGAAGCAAGAGTCTATCGCAGATAGACTGTTTAGAAGGAGATAACTCGGTGAAAATAGATAACATGGAGTCAAAATCAGAACCAAACAGCACTACAGCTCCAGCACCAAATTACGCTAGTGATAGATTGCTGGTTCCTTCTCATATTGACGATATCGAAGCTAGAAACAGAGCCAGAGGAATGCAAAGGGTAAGTACATCATCTCTTTACACGGCGTATCATCATCAATATTTACACAGTCGCGCCGATAGGGCTTAACATTCTCATTTTGCATATAAATATTTATTCGTTGCTCACTTTAAACCGAAAAAACTTCCAGTTTTTCCCCCATATTTTCGTCTTATAGTGCTCATTTCTCCTAAAAAAAAAAACAAATTGATAATCTGTGCTCCTCCTCGTCTCATTCCGGATGTTGATTCCAACGTGTCGAAGGAAACAAAAGAATATTTTCCGCGATTTCTCGAATTTAAATCTTGTAAATGAATATATATTACATTTAAAATGATATAGGAGTTTAATTCGCCGTCTCTCGCATGGTTAAATTTGTGATAATTAAGTAACTGCAACCATTAAAACGGTACGTGTATCGTAAATAGTGGATTTTCTACACGGAAAAATTCTCTCGAGATTTTATGCTTTGGACTATAGCATAATCGTTTAATAAGCATAAAATTTTAAACGATTCTCACTTATTTCCATTCATTTGTATCGATTTTTAAAGGATTTAATGTAAGAAATATCCCATTTAAATCGTAACATCACCGCCGGAGAACGAATAGAAGGTGTAATTGAAAATCCGTTTATTAAAATTTCTGCACTGATAATTTATTATAACAGTTAATAAAATTCGCGAATTCGTTCGAGCAATTAACAGGATTATTTCGATAGAAATTAAATAAGAATTTTCTCAAAAAATTCTAACAAGAGAATTCCAATTTATTAAAAATTCTGAAAATCTGATAAAGAATGCATTAAAAAATATCATTTCTCGTATAGGAATTCGTTATGTTTTACCAAAATAAGTAAAAAAAATCGTTAGAAAAATTCCCCAACTGATTTTTTTCCCTGTGTATAGAAAATTCCTAAGGGATGCATTCCTCAGCATTTCCTTAGAAAAGAAATTTAGAGTAGAAATTCTTGGAAGGATTTCCTTCACGAGGACCATTCCTAACCAAAAAATATCAGTAGCAATTGTATAGTAATCCCGTAATGATCAGTCTTTTCTCCATTCATTTCTTTACTAAAATAGAAAAAAGTAAAGAGTAAGACATACGTCTCCTATCGATTTTTTTTATAAATAAGTGAAAGATGTTGTTCTATAATAAGTACTAATGTAACTGTAGTGAGTCTCCTATCGATGCGTAATCCTATTTTTATGATTTACGAGTATTAAAGTTTTGTAATTTATAAAATTATTCACGTCCAACGTAGAAAAACGCGAAGAAAAATTAACTCTCTTACGTGCAATAAACGTCATACCGTTGTATAGGATAAAGGGAGAATGTAAGCGCCGGGAAGATAAGAGTTAATCCTACTTATCTCCGTTAAAACTGGTTTAAAAAAGAATTGTTAAAGGATAGAGAAAAACTTCATCCGATCGTCGAACAATAAATTCAATTACTAGTCTATAAACGGTATTATGAGGTCGGAGCATTTATCAAATTCTGCAGAAACCAAAACGAAAGATTTATCGAAGGAGAAAGAAAGGTAGAAGCTTGACGATTTGTCGAAAGAAGTGATCCTTTTTGATTTCCCATCCGACAGTCAATGCTCTCTGGAGATTTGGCTTTCTCGGTTGCCACTACCTTTTTCTCTTTGTTATCCCGATGCAGCCAGTAAATTTACTGAGAAGAGAGACTTTGTCCATCCATTGTACACGTTTTTTAAGTCGGGATAGGCCACGAGAATTCCAAGAAATTAAGGATGCGGTTTTTAAATTATTTTTAAAAACACTTTTCCCCTGTTTTTAAACAAAGTTTTCTCGTTCTAAACCCACTTTTACTTGTTCTAAACCTCCGTTTTCTCGCACTAAACCTATTTTTCTCGTCTTAAACTCCTTTTTCTCGCAACAATTCGTGCAATAAACGACCAAATTCCTCCACTTCAACCATGAGAGACGTCCAGGAGAGCGTGTATGGCACGATAATTACCCAACGTGTATTTCTGTCCTTAACGCTTAATCTCTTTATTAAACTAGACTTTTTTTCTATTTTTAAATGAGTAGAAATATTATTAATAAAGTAATTTATTACATCCAAAAAAAATAAAAATAAAAAAATTATTTGTAGATGTCGAGTAAAGAATATTTCCGAGTGAGTTTCGAGATGGCTTCCGATCTTCCAGATGAAGTTATCCCAGCCGCTCATGGAATTGCTCTCAGGTAATTTATTATTATTTTATATTATTCTAACTAGATTACGTACTTTTCTAACTGTAAAAAGAAAAGGATCGGAAGCCTGTAAATATAAGGAATTTCTTATTTTAAACCCGAGAAATAAGCTTGTAAAATAGACTTAAAGTGAAAATATATCTAGTGACTTTGAATGGTTATCTGTAAAATGCTGTATACAAGTTTTATAAGTGTGTTAGCTGTAAAAAATAACTTTATCTTTGTTCCATTTTTCGACTGTGTGTATGTGTGTCAGGAGGAGTTCTCTCTCTTTCTTTAAAGAAGATTTTCTCTTGAGAGATGAGTGTCAAACAGCTTTAGAATATTTGGAAAAACATGTTTTCATTTTTCACTCTTGGGTCCTTCTCAACATATTCAGTTAAATCTTTCATTCAGCTCTCTTTTCATCCCATTCTCCTGAGAGACGTTTTATGTCAATACACCTTTTCAAACCTATTCCAGAGCTAAACTTACGATAAGACGTAACTAAGTTATTTAAAATTAAACGATGATTTAAGAGGAGAAAAAACTTGAATTCTCTTCATAATATAACTGCTAATCACCGACGAGATTTAGCATTTTAATCTTAGAAGTTTATGTAATTCTTCGTATCTTCAGCTTGCATCTAAGAGAAGAAAGAAAGAAAGCGAATTTTTATTGCTTCTTCCTTTACTTTTATTTAGAAAATGTAATTTTATTTACGTTTTAAAGTGATATTTTACGTTTGTAAATCACTCTGACATTTATGCATCGCCTCGTTTCCTTTGTAAATTAACATATAATTATACTAAAATATATGCGAATGCGGAGATTCACTTAAGATGATTTCATTTTATAATCTTATAGGGAAGGAATTAAACTAAGTTTTCGCTATTTATGTCAACAGAACTTTGAACTTTCCTGAAAAAATTCTTATCGTTTCGCATCTCTCGAAGTATAAACGACGAATTTAGACTTCTAAAAACGAATATCTGGAGGATTTTCGATAGGATTTTTGATATGTTTCTATGAATAAATACATGAAAAAATCTTTCCAGTAGATGAAAAAATCTATTTCAACGTAAAAATTGCAGTAAAAACATTAAAACAAACGCATAATATCGTATGTTAATGCGCTCAATTGGTCGTTTAGCATGTGTTTAGAGCCAATTTTAAGGAAGAATCTTTACTTTCTATCGTCTAAATCCGGATGTATTTTAAGCGGAACGATATTCATTTATTACGAGAGCGACCATAATTCCGAATTTTGACGTTATAAGTGCCAACGAAGTGCCATTTATGTTATATAAATTGGACGTCGACCAATTAATTCAAGCGTTGCGTGGAAAGTAAGTCTCTATCAGATTTTGTAACGTATCAATAGAAAAAAAAATAACGCTTTTGTTGCAGGAATAATGATGTAGGTGGAGGCTGGATATAGATTTAAAAATTGGAATCATACCAGCCATTTCTGAATCACAAAGTGCTGTAAGCTATGCTTGAGTGTAAAGTAAATTCGAGACGAAGCCCTACATCTTGTTTCTGAATCCGTACAAAAACCGCGGTTATAAATAGTTAAAGTTTTACTCTATTCCAGGATAATATCTATGTTTATATTACTATAATTCCCAAATTGTTTTTCTTGTCTGGGATACGCCCTTTACGTGATAAACACACCCTTGTTTATTAAACTCCTATCGATTTCTACTATAGAAGACGATAATTTTTAAATTAAAATGACTTAAATCTAATTAAATTTCTAAATAAATAACTTACTCGCTCTCTCCTTCTCTTGTATTAATAACGAGTTTATCAATTTTTATCAAATAACAGCATCCTCATCACTCGTATCCACGCAGCATCCGCATCATTAGATTCTGCAAGGAAGAACGGCTCTGAAACGGTTTTAATAACTAAATTTCTTTGAAAAAAAAAGTGTAGAAAAGATGACTCTGATTTGGGAATTGGAGTTTAGATTTAATTTCATACTTTTCATGTTTCATGCAAATTAACTATGAATAAATTTCGTGACCACGTTCTGTAGGTGTGTCACTTTGCTGTATTAACGTGAATTTTCCTTTAATTTTTATACATAATTAACAAGCCGGAATTAGAATATTAAAAGCGATAGAAGAGGCATTCAATCACACATGTTAGCGTGAATATTCTTTTTTTTTTTTTTTTTAATTCTTCGAAAACGTCGTGTTTTAATTAGAATTAAAATCCATCACAGTTTAAATAACCATAACTTATTTTTCTACGGGGAAATTTATATATAAAATACTTAATTCTGTACAACGTAAACAACTTTAATGAGGAGAAAACCTTTCAAAAATATATCTTATAACGTTTTACACAACATAAAATACTCTGAAAAGACGTTTTGAATATTTGAAAAGGTAAAACTGTGGATTTTAAGTAATGACATTAAAGATAATTAGATAAGGAGAGGAATTTATTGGATTTAAAGATGTTAAATATTCAAAAATTAAAACCTGGTTTAGTTCTATTAATTAGAAAATGACGAAGATGTAAGGGGTTTTTTTTCCATAAAAGATACAAGACGAAGGAAGATTAGTGTAAGAAGTAGGAACAAAAAGCTGTCGTCCTCAGTCATCATCAAGTGAAGAACTCGATAACTGGATTAACGTATTGAGAAAGAAAAAAGGGGAATGACCATTGATTTTCTTTTGGAAATTACGATATTACAGTAATGATTCCTCTTATGTTTTCCTATATAAGCTTTCAGAATTGATCTGAATGTTTATGTCGATTCTAGCGCACGATATTTTATTTTTGACACGAACGAATCGATAATTTTTATACTTAAATCTTAATTTTTTATCAAAACATCTGAGATTTGGAAAGGAAATTTACAGTTTATAACTAAGAATTTGGCTCGTTTTACACGTCTTGTCGTTGTAGGTGTAGATTCAACCCTGACTAATTGATGATGAAACGAGATGATGGAGAAAAATATCAATTTAACTTGATCATTTTTCATTTTATTATCTTACAAGCTAATTTTTCTTCGTTTGGATATCAAAATAACCCTTTCCTCCATAATTTTTAAGGGATTTAGCCCTTAACATAATTTTTCTTATAAAGCAAGATAGCTTTAGGTACATTTTCTTATGGAAAATAATAATAATCTTACGCTCATTCTCGCTAGAAAAATAAAACAAATTTAATTGTACTTATCCATAGATCATTGTTTAAAAAGATTTTTGGCTTGGGAACTGAGAGTAAACATCTTTTCTTCCTAATTACATAGGTAAATTGACTAGGAATGACCCAAAAATCATTCTATAAAATAACTTTATATCGTCTAATCTGTGCCTATTATGTTTAAAGAATATATCAAAAGATAAACATGTTTATATCTGGGTCTTTTTCTCGTGTGTATTTATAGAAATTGCCATTATTATTGCTAAAGAATCCGAACTCTCTTCGGAATCAGTCATCAATCTCGGACGTTGTTTCGTGTTTTGTGAGTGGTATAACAAATTGATTAGGTCCTACGTCGTCTTCCCCCTTCGGACATGACGACTCGACTCGATTTAAGTCAAAGAAGTCAACAGGATATTGTTTTATTTCTAACCAAAAGTAATAGAAACATGGGATTTTCCATTATTTTCTTTTATTTTTATGCACGGAATGTAAACACATTTAGCAATTAAACTATTAAAGAAACGTTTAAAATGTTTTCAACTTATGAATAAAAACAAACTTTAAACTTTGAAAAATGTACAAAATCTAGTTTTAAATTAGAAATTTCCTGTAAAATAGGCGACTTTTAAATGTTTTTCTCGACTTAAATCCTAAATAAACACAATTATAAGCTTAAAAGTCATAAAAACAATTATTTTCGCCAATAAAAAGGGATTTTAAAGTAAATTTCCTTTATTTAAGTGAAATTTCCTTGTAAAATATCAATTTTAAACCTTTCTATTCCTTTATAATCTCTATTACTAGCAACTGAGTAATAATGACAAAAACTATAGGAAACTTGTATAGAACAAAAATAACACAATTAAATAGTAGAAAGCGTCGAAATTTGTTTTAAACAACCCCCTGCAGAACTATACATTTATAAAGTAATTTAGTGTATTTCTTCCTTTTATTGATTTCGTCTACGAAAACATTTTAAAAAGAAGCGTCAAGACAAAGAATAGTTATTATACTGAATAAAAGTAGTTTTAAATAAAAGAAAATTAAAATATTTGGCTGCTTTTGAGAAGAATTTACAGCAGAGAATTGCCATTTTCACTTCTCTGATTCTTTCTCCCTATACTTAAGCTATACAAAATTTACAAGACTCGAAAATACGGCTATTTTGGTATAACGAAAGAACTTTTCGTGCGGATCGACTCTATTTTTTATTTATTTTTTTCAAGCATTTTTGGTTTTTTCCTGCTTTTTATATAGAAATAAAAACCCCATTTTAAAACTTAAAAATAATACTGCAAATTTGAATAATTTTAATTTATAATCGTTAAAAAAGAAAGTTATAATCGAAAGCACGTGATTAAAAAATTCATTAATTTCAGAAATCACGTGATTTAAAAAGTCAATTTCAGAAATCACGTGATTTTTAAAAAGTCAATTTCAGAAATCACGTGATTTTTAAAAAGTCAAATTCAGAAATTACGTGATTTAAAAAAGTCAATTTCAGAAAGCACGTGATTAAAAAAAGTCAATTTCAGAAAGCACATGATTAAAAAAAGTCTATTTCAGAAATTACGTGATTTAAAAAAGTCAATTTCAGAAAGCACATGATTAAAAAAAGTCAATTTCAGAAAGCACGTGATTTTAAAAAGCGTCAATTTCAGAAAGCACGTGTATTTGTCTGTTATTAATTTAATCACATTCAGTATTAAACTATAATAAAATAAATAATTTTATTGACATAAAAACTAGTAATTTTTATGTATAAAATTATATAAAAGTATAAGATTTATATAGGCCTATATATAAAAAATGTTATTAAGAATTTTATATTTGTTATTTTATTTTATTTTTTTTGTTGTTCATTTTCTTGAAGTTTTAACCTCTAAAAATACGAAAACAAAAATATAATTTACTACGCAAATAAAATCAAATTTTAAACTTTAGAATTACGTATAAATATTTTACGAAGTCGTATCGAGTTAATTAAAAATCACAAGGAAAGAAAATGTTTAAATAATGAGAGTTGGCTTAAAATTTAATTTAATTTTTATCTTATTATAAATTTATAACAAAATTGCCGACGTCCTAACTCATTATATGAATATTTTGAATAACGTTTCTCACTCCTTATGACGTCAGTTGACGTTTTCTAACAGTAGCTAGATCAATAGAATGTATGACAACAGCATGCAAATGTCAGGCCAAACCCCCTTTTAATCCATTCCCTCCATAAAAACATACCTTCCTCTCCTCCCCTCTTCTACCGTCATCGTTCTCCGACTACCACGAATATTTTAATTAAATTTCTATAAAAATGCATATTTGTAATCTTAAAATCTCTATATATATTATTTACCCCCTCAATTTTACTTACTTCATAATTAAATAATACGGAATTTTATAAGTATACAAGTCATTTACATAGGCGAATTTTTTTAAGTTTAAAATTCTTAATTTTAACTTACTTTAACTAATTTAAATTCTTGAAAACGTACACTTTACTATCGAATTTTTCAATAGAAATATTAAAAATTCGATTGTTGGCATTTGACCTTTTTGATTCGGTTCGACCAGACGGCTTTAATTACTTGTAAAATTTATTATTTATGTTTATTTTAATGGGTTTTACGTAATTATAAACGTAAATTTTCTCTAATAACCACGTTATAAAATCAGATGGGTGATGATTATTGTATATAATACCAGTTGACCCCCCTATAACACTTGATTTTTCCCGTTTTATATGAATTCCATGTTGTACGAGTCACTTAGATTTTACAAATACGAGTGCACGGCTACGAATGGCTCACATATTTGTAAAATCTAAGTGACTCGTACAACATGAAATTCATATAAAACGGGAATAATCAACAGTGTTATAGGGGGGTCGACTGTACTCACTTAACGTGTGAAAAACGCTATAATATAACACCAGAGGACTAATATTTTGTCTCCAAACTTATAGTTTTAAGAAGAGAATATTTAAACCCGATCAGAATCGATTTTAACTGTTAAGAAAAATCGATAGGTTATTCATCTAACACCTGGAAACGTTATAAATTCTCTCAGCTATTATTATTATTATTTTCTTAACAAATTTTTGATTATATTTTCAGAGAAGCGTTACAAGGATTATTGGAGTATAGAGGGATAGATATCAACGAGGTGAATATATTTTTAGACTCTTCTAGTACTCCTCTACCCCTTCAATTCGAAACTTTTCGTTTGGGAGGACATCACTTAACAGTTAAAGGTAAGTAAGAATGATGATAAGTAGTTTTATACTTAATTCCTTCGTAATTGTTATGGGATTTTTCATTCTCCCGTAGGAAGTTAAAGCTAAGTTTTATTAATTTTCTAGAATTTTTCTTTATTATTCTCTCGGGAATTTTATTATTCATTCGAAGGAAAAAAAATTGTTTTAAATAGTCTATTTTAACGGGTGAATGTCTCTCTTTTATATTGATTTTTTAAAATATTTTTTTACAGTTTTCTAGTTATGCAAGGAGATTTTTTGTTTGTTTGTTTGTTTGTCTGTCCGTAACGCATTCGAAGAATATCTCAAAAATAACTTGGAGACTTGAAATTTAAGACAATTTTTGGGCCTCCAACATTCTTCGAATAGATTTAGTTAGAACCGGATTTAAAGGTCTAGCAACTGTAATAAAATTTTATTACATAATACTAGACAAATTCTTGAATATAATTAGTATTCTGTTAATTGAATAAATTATTATTAATAATGAAAATAATAAGAAAATTAAGAAGATTAATAAGAAAATATTAACTATATTGTTAATTCTGTTCGACGATAATTGATTTTTTTTTTCACGTGTATGTCTACAAATTGAGTTTGTAAATGGCCAAAATAACCGAGAATCCGGGTTCGAATTAGTGATTTTTTTAGTGGTTTATTTATTAAAATGGAAACGTTTCGTCCCGTTCTTCTTCCACGTTAACTGACCCGCACGTAATGGACAAAATTGAAACTTCGTGTGTCTGGACCAAATCCAATCCAATGCATTTCAGTTTCGACTCGAGCTGAACTCAGCTCATTATTAACTGAACGTTACCCTACAAAATATCCTTTTTAGGCAAGAATTCGAGTATGAAATATATAAAATTTGGTTCATTTACATTAAAATTACTACTAGTAACCACCATTTTGTACATATATAAGGAAATTGTCCTTTTTTTATACGCATTTTATTCATCAGGATGAATAAAATGCGTATGAAAAAAGGAAAATTTCCTTATTTATTTTATAATACTTTTATGGCAATTAAACAACCGATACACTTCGCAATCTAATCGAATCCCTCTCGTGTAAATCACGATAGGAAAAAAAATATATTAATTTTGTTTACACACACAAAAAAGGAAGGTTTCTTTTTTTTCCTCTGTGTGTGTGGTGGATGGAAATTAGGAATTTCTTGAATTAATGTGGAAGGATGCACGAGACAGATGTTGCTGTTTTCACAAAACCTGCGGCGGGTGTCACTTCATCTAGGATGACTGATCATGTATCAGCTCGGGGCAATGTTTTCTTTTGGGCCTACTTTATTTATAGCTTGCATACAACGTGTCTGACGTTCAGACTTTCTGACAGCCATCTTTTTCATTTTTTGAATGTTTTCCCCCTTCTTTCTTTCGCCATTAACTAGTTACTTTGTTCGATTTTCTTCCCTCTCTCTCTCTTACTTTTAGGAAAAAAAAAAGTTGAATTATTAATTTCGAATTAATTAAATTCGACGTTATTATTTATACCCGTTGTAATTCTGTTTACTCTGTGCTATTTCTTAATTTATTCTCTCTCTAAATTTCGTGAGGAATCTCTTGTTTTCGAGTCAAACTTTGAGAGAAAAATAACATTTAAATCGAACAGTTAGAACCGTATAAAATCAAAATACAGTAGAGTAGCATTAAGTAAATTAATTAAGTAATCGGTAAAATTCGCTTCGGTTAAGTAGGAGTTTCGATTGGTAAACCGAGAGCTCTTTTGGGAACAATAAAGCCGGGCCATTCAACTCTAATCCGGAAACTACGTTAAATAAGCGAAATTTACCCTTTATAATAAATAAATATAAATATTTACACCCTTTAATGGCACAAATTAATCACTAAATCCAGGCCAATGCCAAAGTAAACACGCACTCTCCGAACAACGTCTCGATCTTATCGTCGACGTCACGCGCCGTTCGGCTCGTGACGTCATTCTACTCAACCCCCCTCTTCTCACCCGATTTAGGGATTATCTACGCCACTTCAGTTTTATTTACCAACCGAATTTGGCTCACGGCAGCGATCTTAAACACTTCTTTTTTTTTACCTAAAAGTTCTAATTGTTAGTACGACACCCGCAAAATGGTGGAAGGGTGCCGCTCGCACGCAATAAATCGAGCATGCGCGGACGTAACGGTAAGAGGGGGGAAGAGAGAGAGGGGGAGACTGCGATAAAAGTCCAAAGATTAGATATTCATGAAAAAAATATGGCCGTAAAAGCTAAATTGAAGACGTGCGACTCTCTACCCTGCTTGTTTCTAGGTGAGGTGTTGTATTTTTATAAATCTTTTAATACTTTAATCGATATCGATTGCCACCATCGATGGGTTTACAAGTAGACGAAAGTGGACGGGTGATTATTGCCTTTCCACTTTGTACTTTCCCTTTTTTCTGTAAAGTAGGCCACTGCCTTTGTTACACTTAACTTTGTTTCTTCTCCCTTAAGAAGCGTTACGTCATACGCCCCCGTTCGCCCTTTAAAACGGGTCCACCGTTCGATAAATGTCATTCTAAACAAAATCAATTTTAAGTTTACCAAATATTTAATTTGTGGCAACACTTGGCTAATAGACGAACTTATTCCATTTCTAAATATAGACCACGCTATTTTCATTCGCCTACTCGCTGCCATTTATACAACGTGGAATTGTTTCCATTTAACCTTATATCAATCAATTCTTAATCCGTCTTGCGTGAATTTCGCTAATTACGTAATAATAATAATGTAAATCACGTCTTGCGTAATGAAGTATTTTAATTATAATTAAGTGCTTTTTTTTTTATGTAACGACCTTGCAGATCCGCTCAATAAGCCAGACTTTTAAACCTTAAAATATGCGTAATTTTTTTTATAAATTCCGCTGTAAAATTACATTATCGACGTTTATTTTACGCTAGAATATGTTATAAACTCAATTATTAAGTTATAACCTTAATAAAACTCGATTGAAGCATCTAACACCCGCGATGTTGGCTTCAGAAAAGTCCAATTTTCTAAATATTTAGAGTTAGTAAACGCTTAAACTTTGGTTCCATCAGCTAAATTACAGAGTTAGGAACCACAAAATACAATTTTTATGGTAATAAATTGCTTAAAATATTATCAAATCGAAACTTTTCTAAAGTGCTTAGTAATTAGAGAGATACCTTGCCTTATCGAGTCACCAAACAGTTTTTTCTTACTGATAACTGCTTGTAGAGTGGGTCCTATCATTTAATGGTTATTAGCATGAGGTGTATTAAGATTAATTTAGAGATTATAATTAACTTTATTCTAAGAATTCCTTATCAGTAACTGATGGATCTTGATATCTTATTGTTGAAACTGGCATGCAACAATAAAGTTTTGCTTTCATTTTTAATGCCCATTCTACCATATTTATTCATTTATCCTCTTCTATTTTTATGTGATTTGACAAAGTGATGTTTGATGGCATTTTTTATTTAGATTTTTCTACTTTTTCTTCTCCTTCCTTCATCTTTCTCTCTTCTTTCACATGCAAATTACTGAATTGAATGAGTTCTTGGCTTTATAACTCTTCTATGTCTATCTGATCATTATGGGGTTATATCCGAGCGAAAATTTTTAGGTAACAGCTGCGCTCTTTTCTATTAAGTGTAAAATCGCTCGTTTCTGCGAAATTATAAACTCTGCTTTAACAACTTGTGGGATTTTAATGAAATTAAAGCGAATTTTTTAAAGAATAAATGCATTTTTCTTCTCGTGGATAGTGATTTTGCACTAAATTACGCTTAGTAAATGCACTAAATTAACAATTTTTACTGGCATTTTCAAGCAAAAAAAAAAAAAAGATGATTTCTGCATAATTTATAGACAGAGGAAGTTGTTTTTTGTAGTCGTTTTTCAGAGGATAAAAATTATTTTTGCATTAAATCGAATTTTTTCGTGCAATTTTCATCGCAAAAATGCGATTTTTCAATAAAATTCTAGATACAGAAACGACTTTTATTCATTTTCTAGTAAAGAAAAGTTATTTTGTATCAATTCTGTAAGAAAGAGAATCATTTTTTGATTGCAAATTCTAAAGGTTAAAACTATCAATATATTGCATTATTGTAGACATTTGCATGAATTTTAAACAAAAGAAAAGTAATTTTATTCCTCGCAGTTTAAAGAAATATCACTTTTACAGCATTTTACAGCGTGATTTTTCCATTAAATTGCGAGGTATAAAGCTATTTTTCCAGCATTTTCAAGCAATTTTTTTAAGCACAAATGAATTTTTAAGCATTTTTTAAGACAGGAATTCCTTTTGTGAGAAGTTTTAAATGACTTTTGTAAGCTTTACAACCATTTTTTTTTTCATGTTAAAAATTCCTCGTAAACAACAATAAATAAATAAAATTTTTCTAAAGATCTGCCACGAAATTAAAACACTATTTTATCTTTAAATAAACATAATTATTTTTAAATGTGTTTATCTTACTTATTAATTTTTGCGTAAATAGTTACAGTACTTAGAAGCGTTGATATAATTTTATTTTTCGAAATCAATTTTCTCATATGTTAATTTGAAGGATTAATTTAATTAAATCGCTTGTAAAATATTAAATATATAAAATTTTTTCGTTGGATTTTTAATTAATTTATATGCCGATACATCGCATTNTATATAAATTAGCTTAATGATGTCCACCGCTTACGTTTTTCTTCACAAGATGGCGTTACCATGATTCACTAGCATCACGCAAGATTTGACAGATGTTGCACGAGAGATGTCATCCGGAGAAGAGTTATTTTATTATTTAAATTATTAATTTATTATTATTTTATATTATTCTAACTAGATTACGTACTTTTCTAACTGTAAAAAGAAAAGGATCGGAAGCCTGTAAATATAAGGAATTTCTTATTTTAAACCCGAGAAATAAGCTTGTAAAATAGACTTAAAGTGAAAATATATCTAGTGACTTTGAATGGTTATCTGTAAAATGCTGTATACAAGTTTTATAAGTGTGTTAGCTGTAAAAAATAACTTTATCTTTGTTCCATTTTTCGACTGTGTGTATGTGTGTCAGGAGGAGTTCTCTCTCTTTCTTTAAAGAAGATTTTCTCTTGAGAGATGAGTGTCAAACAGCTTTAGAATATTTGGAAAAACATGTTTTCATTTTTCACTCTTGGGTCCTTCTCAACATATTCAGTTAAATCTTTCATTCAGCTCTCTTTTCATCCCATTCTCCTGAGAGACGTTTTATGTCAATACACCTTTTCAAACCTATTCCAGAGCTAAACTTACGATAAGACGTAACTAAGTTATTTAAAATTAAACGATGATTTAAGAGGAGAAAAAACTTGAATTCTCTTCATAATATAACTGCTAATCACCGACGAGATTTAGCATTTTAATCTTAGAAGTTTATGTAATTCTTCGTATCTTCAGCTTGCATCTAAGAGAAGAAAGAAAGAAAGCGAATTTTTATTGCTTCTTCCTTTACTTTTATTTAGAAAATGTAATTTTATTTACGTTTTAAAGTGATATTTTACGTTTGTAAATCACTCTGACATTTATGCATCGCCTCGTTTCCTTTGTAAATTAACATATAATTATACTAAAATATATGCGAATGCGGAGATTCACTTAAGATGATTTCATTTTATAATCTTATAGGGAAGGAATTAAACTAAGTTTTCGCTATTTATGTCAACAGAACTTTGAACTTTCCTGAAAAAATTCTTATCGTTTCGCATCTCTCGAAGTATAAACGACGAATTTAGACTTCTAAAAACGAATATCTGGAGGATTTTCGATAGGATTTTTGATATGTTTCTATGAATAAATACATGAAAAAATCTTTCCAGTAGATGAAAAAATCTATTTCAACGTAAAAATTGCAGTAAAAACATTAAAACAAACGCATAATATCGTATGTTAATGCGCTCAATTGGTCGTTTAGCATGTGTTTAGAGCCAATTTTAAGGAAGAATCTTTACTTTCTATCGTCTAAATCCGGATGTATTTTAAGCGGAACGATATTCATTTATTACGAGAGCGACCATAATTCCGAATTTTGACGTTATAAGTGCCAACGAAGTGCCATTTATGTTATATAAATTGGACGTCGACCAATTAATTCAAGCGTTGCGTGGAAAGTAAGTCTCTATCAGATTTTGTAACGTATCAATAGAAAAAAAAATAACGCTTTTGTTGCAGGAATAATGATGTAGGTGGAGGCTGGATATAGATTTAAAAATTGGAATCATACCAGCCATTTCTGAATCACAAAGTGCTGTAAGCTATGCTTGAGTGTAAAGTAAATTCGAGACGAAGCCCTACATCTTGTTTCTGAATCCGTACAAAAACCGCGGTTATAAATAGTTAAAGTTTTACTCTATTCCAGGATAATATCTATGTTTATATTACTATAATTCCCAAATTGTTTTTCTTGTCTGGGATACGCCCTTTACGTGATAAACACACCCTTGTTTATTAAACTCCTATCGATTTCTACTATAGAAGACGATAATTTTTAAATTAAAATGACTTAAATCTAATTAAATTTCTAAATAAATAACTTACTCGCTCTCTCCTTCTCTTGTATTAATAACGAGTTTATCAATTTTTATCAAATAACAGCATCCTCATCACTCGTATCCACGCAGCATCCGCATCATTAGATTCTGCAAGGAAGAACGGCTCTGAAACGGTTTTAATAACTAAATTTCTTTGAAAAAAAAAGTGTAGAAAAGATGACTCTGATTTGGGAATTGGAGTTTAGATTTAATTTCATACTTTTCATGTTTCATGCAAATTAACTATGAATAAATTTCGTGACCACGTTCTGTAGGTGTGTCACTTTGCTGTATTAACGTGAATTTTCCTTTAATTTTTATACATAATTAACAAGCCGGAATTAGAATATTAAAAGCGATAGAAGAGGCATTCAATCACACATGTTAGCGTGAATATTCTTTTTTTTTTTTTTTTTAATTCTTCGAAAACGTCGTGTTTTAATTAGAATTAAAATCCATCACAGTTTAAATAACCATAACTTATTTTTCTACGGGGAAATTTATATATAAAATACTTAATTCTGTACAACGTAAACAACTTTAATGAGGAGAAAACCTTTCAAAAATATATCTTATAACGTTTTACACAACATAAAATACTCTGAAAAGACGTTTTGAATATTTGAAAAGGTAAAACTGTGGATTTTAAGTAATGACATTAAAGATAATTAGATAAGGAGAGGAATTTATTGGATTTAAAGATGTTAAATATTCAAAAATTAAAACCTGGTTTAGTTTTATTAATTAGAAAATGACGAAGATGTAAGGGGTTTTTTTTCCATAAAAGATACAAGACGAAGGAAGATTAGTGTAAGAAGTAGGAACAAAAAGCTGTCGTCCTCAGTCATCATCAAGTGAAGAACTCGATAACTGGATTAACGTATTGAGAAAGAAAAAAGGGGAATGACCATTGATTTTCTTTTGGAAATTACGATATTACAGTAATGATTCCTCTTATGTTTTCCTATATAAGCTTTCAGAATTGATCTGAATGTTTATGTCGATTCTAGCGCACGATATTTTATTTTTGACACGAACGAATCGATAATTTTTATACTTAAATCTTAATTTTTTATCAAAACATCTGAGATTTGGAAAGGAAATTTACAGTTTATAACTAAGAATTTGGCTCGTTTTACACGTCTTGTCGTTGTAGGTGTAGATTCAACCCTGACTAATTGATGATGAAACGAGATGATGGAGAAAAATATCAATTTAACTTGATCATTTTTCATTTTATTATCTTACAAGCTAATTTTTCTTCGTTTGGATATCAAAATAACCCTTTCCTCCATAATTTTTAAGGGATTTAGCCCTTAACATAATTTTTCTTATAAAGCAAGATAGCTTTAGGTACATTTTCTTATGGAAAATAATAATAATCTTACGCTCATTCTCGCTAGAAAAATAAAACAAATTTAATTGTACTTATCCATAGATCATTGTTTAAAAAGATTTTTGGCTTGGGAACTGAGAGTAAACATCTTTTCTTCCTAATTACATAGGTAAATTGACTAGGAATGACCCAAAAATCATTCTATAAAATAACTTTATATCGTCTAATCTGTGCCTATTATGTTTAAAGAATATATCAAAAGATAAACATGTTTATATCTGGGTCTTTTTCTCGTGTGTATTTATAGAAATTGCCATTATTATTGCTAAAGAATCCGAACTCTCTTCGGAATCAGTCATCAATCTCGGACGTTGTTTCGTGTTTTGTGAGTGGTATAACAAATTGATTAGGTCCTACGTCGTCTTCCCCCTTCGGACATGACGACTCGACTCGATTTAAGTCAAAGAAGTCAACAGGATATTGTTTTATTTCTAACCAAAAGTAATAGAAACATGGGATTTTCCATTATTTTCTTTTATTTTTATGCACGGAATGTAAACACATTTAGCAATTAAACTATTAAAGAAACGTTTAAAATGTTTTCAACTTATGAATAAAAACAAACTTTAAACTTTGAAAAATGTACAAAATCTAGTTTTAAATTAGAAATTTCCTGTAAAATAGGCGACTTTTAAATGTTTTTCTCGACTTAAATCCTAAATAAACACAATTATAAGCTTAAAAGTCATAAAAACAATTATTTTCGCCAATAAAAAGGGATTTTAAAGTAAATTTCCTTTATTTAAGTGAAATTTCCTTGTAAAATATCAATTTTAAACCTTTCTATTCCTTTATAATCTCTATTACTAGCAACTGAGTAATAATGACAAAAACTATAGGAAACTTGTATAGAACAAAAATAACACAATTAAATAGTAGAAAGCGTCGAAATTTGTTTTAAACAACCCCCTGCAGAACTATACATTTATAAAGTAATTTAGTGTATTTCTTCCTTTTATTGATTTCGTCTACGAAAACATTTTAAAAAGAAGCGTCAAGACAAAGAATAGTTATTACACTGAATAAAAGTAGTTTTAAATAAAAGAAAATAAAAATATTTGGCTGCTTTTGAGAAGAATTTACAGCAGAGAATTGCCATTTTCACTTCTCTGATTCTTTCTCCCTATACTTAAGCTATACAAAATTTACAAGACTCGAAAATACGGCTATTTTGGTATAACGAAAGAACTTTTCGTGCGGATCGACTCTATTTTTTATTTATTTTTTTCAAGCATTTTTGGTTTTTTCCTGCTTTTTATATAGAAATATTGTTTGTTTGACGACCGATTTAAACAATGAAAGCGTTGTTATTGCTACTATACGACCCGATTTTTTCCTACTTAATCCTATTGTCTGCGTGTTTACGAAGCTTTTAAATGACTTTTATACTCTTTCGGCGCCATTTAAACCAGAATAATAAAAATTTAAGCGATATTTAAAGCCATTTTACAACGATTTTTAACGTAGAAATTCGTACGTACCGATTAAAAGATGGAAGGAAAAATAGGAAGCAAAGACATTTCTTGCGAATTTTTACGGGTGTAGATTAATATATTCTTCATTATCCTTAAGGATATTCTGTGAATGTACATTTGCTACCGTTAGTCAATCATCTAGAAGCACGTAGAAAAACCATTACTCATCCATCTCTGGTAGTCAACAATGGCATCTAGCTGATTAACATTCACTAAGATTTCTCTTATTCCTTAAATTCTTGCTAAAAAAATAAAAATAAAAATAATAAAAAAATTCAATCAATCTTAAAATATATTTTTACAATTGTATATTTTATAAATTATTTATTTTTATGCAAATTACTTCCAGCCATCCGCTAGATTTCTTACTTAGTATAGTCTACTGTACTTCTAAGCGACAAGCGGATAACTAAGCAAACCAATAGCATATGAAATAGCAAATCACTCCGAGTAATTTGCATTAAAAAAAAATATACTTTTAAATTTAAATTAGGGAGTATGAAACGGAGTACGCTATTGGTTTCATTATTTGTGTGCTTTTCTGCTTAGAAAATACCATTAATTTTGCTTTAATTAATTAATTGTGAGCGATATTTTAAACGTTTAAACAATAATTTAATGTTTTTTTTTTTTTAAAATATTACGAGTACAGATTTTAATGTTGTTAACCTTAGACGATGACAAATTTTCTTGAAAATGCTCCAAAATTTAATGATAAATTATCACCTAACTATTTTAAGCTGGTTAAAAGTGAGTAGAGAAATTAATTTTCTAATTTATTGATCCATTTTTTTCCATGGTTGAATATATAAATATACATATTTTTAAGCATCTAAACTACATTAACCTTTAAAAACACGATAACGAGTAGGTTATAACGTGTACTTTTGCCAAATTTTAATGATTTATCTCGCCATTTTTAGTGCTCGTGTGTAAATATATATACAGGGAAGGTTTGTATGGAGATGCTAGAGGGTGGAAACAACTTTATTTACTTTAAAAAGAGGGTATTTTGATAGTTAAAATGGTGTATACCCCGTAGAAAAAATCATCTAAATAAGTGAATTGAATAGAAAAGTAAAAGGCGTCCACCTCGCAGTACTAAATTCTCGTTAATTTGGCTTTATCACCTCATAAATCTATTCACGATAAGGATATTAAAGGAAGGATGATGATGTTGTTGTATAGGCTATAGTTAGGCACAATAAGATTGGAAAGAGTTTCCTGTAGAAAGTATCGTTGTTATCGAGAGAAAAGTCGTAATTAAAAGAAATTAAATCGATTTTTAACCCATTCGAACAAAGAAAAATAAAAAAGAAAGGTAACAAAACGTTTCCTAAACCAATTTAAGAAGATAGAAGATGCGAGTTATTAACCCATAATCATTACAAATTAAATCACAGAAGTAATTTCAATGGTAATTTTATAATTATACATTTTAGATTCCATCTTATTGTTTTTTTTTTTTTTGGCCGGGAAAACGTAATTATCAAGACGTTTAGGGATGAGGAAGAGCAAGAGAGACAAATGGGAAAATCACGTGATGCTTCGCTTAATTTAAATGAGTAAACATTCACGTGATTTCGAGCCATCGATGATACTTTAAAGATCCTTTTTTTCACGTGTTCCTGCAGAGGAATGTTTACGAAATTGGTTGCAACGTGTGAACGAAGGTTGGGTACTTCAGATAGTGTGGTGATGCTTGTTGCAAGCGAGTTGAGTAATTAGGAAAACCAGATGAAAGCCTTCATCGATTTCCGGAAACCTACTTACCGTTGACTGTAATGATATGTCGAGCAAAAACATCTGCACTAGGTTATCGTAATTAACACAGTAAGTCTGAGAGACAAGCGTGTCCTATTTTAATGACTTTTTCTCTTTAATGATTCTCTCCTTCTCTTTGCTCAATTCTTTTCTTTTCTTTTTTTCTTCTTTCTGTTCGAAAAGACGGAACATTTATTAACTTCTTACTGTGACATCACGTCGAAAAAATGACAAAAAAGATAATTTATAATTCGGAGAAAATTATTGTTTTGATTTAATCTCTTTATCTCGTTTCTTTTGTGTAATTTCAATACTAATTCTCTCCATTCTCCACTTAGCTTTTCGGTTGATCCTCCATTTGAATGTGTAAATTTTTAATAAAATCTTGCTTAAAACAGAAAAAAAGCAATCATTTTTATGCTTAAAATTTAATTTTAACTCAATTTAAACCATTATTAGTTTGATTTTAAGCTTTACTTAAGGATAAAAGTTTCGAGTCTTCGGCTTTATTGAATGAATGAATGAAGATTTTTTTAATAATTTAAGCTATTTTAGGGTATTAAATATGTAAATTAGGATAAAATAAGACATTTATTTTCCTATTTTATAAGAATTTCTTGATCATTTAAGTGTAAGGAGACAAAATAAACTCAAATATTTGCACTAGAAAACGTCTAGAAGTCACGCTTGCTATAAGTTATATATTACTATTTTTGGGTGTAAATTTTAAAGCAGATCAAGTGAAAATTAAAATTAGAAGGTACGGGTCAACGAATTTTTCCTCGTGAGATTAATTATTGATGTGCATAAATACGGAAAGAAAGCCATATTTTTTGGTTACTTGTTTGACTTGGCTTTGACTTCGTGTCGAATTCCTTCATTTATAACTAAAATTTATGAATTAAAATAATTTATATAACAAAATTTAATTTATTTTATGATTTTTTTTACTTAATTTTAGCGAATTTTTAAAAATTTCTCTCTCAAAAAATAATTTTTTCCAGTAGCGAGTTGTGTAACTTTCCCGGCGAAAAAGTTAAAATTGTGTGTTGCGCCATCTGTTATAAGGTTTTATTTTAAAAGTATTATATATAATTAATTATTATAAAATGGTAAAAGGCTTAATTTTGAGGATAGAGACAAATTTTATATATATAAAAAACATATCTTCAAGTTCGACCCCATTCGAGATATGACACGTGTGGCCCCTCTATTTTTCCATCCCTCGACCTTTAACCACCAAAATTTAATAGCATCAATCCCTCTAATACACAAATTTTCTGGCAAAATTTCAGAAATTTTCGACAAAAGCTATAGGAGTTATTAAACTTTAAAGTGGGTTAACAAAAGCGTGACACCCCCCCGAAACACGCACAAATACAAGCACAAACATCCATACATAGAGGAAAAAACCCAAATATTTTTATATTCCTCGATGTTTCAAGGTGTCCTAAGTCCAAATAATGGGGTAATTTTTCTACCGAACCCCATACTTTCCCTCTGTTATATATATAACTTCCAGGTTAGTAATTAAATTTAAAAAAGGGAAGATTAAATATAGAAAGTTTCGTCAATTTAAAAAAAAAATACAACATGAAGTATTTTTTTTATATATAAAAAATCGATTTTTATAAATTTTACATCGATTTTTTTACAGAAATAACAATAAAAAAAGAGCCATTTATCCTTGACAAAGTGGACCTACACCACACATTTATTGATTCAATTATTCTATAAAAAAAAATAAAATAAAATTTCAAAATTTTATTTAATATATCTGATTAAATTTCTTGGGGGGGAGTGAGAAAAAGCATAACTAAATGAATTTCTTTTGTTATTTTTCATCATACAGAAGCCCGAATTTCTTTTGGGAATTGAGATATTTATTTCTTTGTATGGAAGTTATACGTATATAAAATATTAAAAAATATACATGTTTAAGCTGAGAGAAGATGTAAAGAAGTTAGAAAGAATGGTTGCATAAGGATAGGACAGTAGCCCTAGGGGTGGTGATGATACTTGTTCGATGACGGTGACAGTAACTTGGCTACAGTCTGACAAGGTTGGATACAACACCCGCCATCCCTCACCCCCTGTAGCTATATTCTATCCGTTTAGGATCCAAAACGTGCCATTGATACACACCGTATTGTTATTCGCTACAAAATTCTCCCTTATTAGCCTTCGATTCCTGGACGTGTTCCTCCTTTTATTTTTTATTTTTTTTTTTCGTATACCGCGACTTACTACATCCCTTTAAAGTGAATTTTTATACCAAAACAAAAATATATCAATATTAAATTTTATACAAGATTATTGGCGCCGGATTATCGAGAGCTCTTTCTCTGAATTTATGTTAAATTCCCTTTTTTTTATTGTGTAATACAGTAGACCCCCTATAACGCTTAGATACGTTCCACGTTAATCGAAATTTACGTTGTAGGAATGATTAAATACATGAGCCAATCGCAGCCCGATAGGTGTGAACTTTACGGACTAAGGCTGTTTGAAAGGTTTTCTTCTATAAAATTAACCGATTCTAGACTAATTCCACTCAACATTTCCAAAACACGTATAATTTTTTGGGAATAATCCGTATAAACTACGCTATAAACAAAAAATTGTAGGATTACTTACCGAGTATGCACCATTCGACAACCCCATTGCTAAAGCTTGTTTTCGTCGCGAAGCAGCACACCAAACCACGGCCGATTTCTGATAACTTATTTTTCTGCGAAAACTTCGTTGAACTTCGGAGACATCATTAATATAAATAATTTTAATCGCCGTTGAATAAGAAATGTTTCTTTCACAAGAAATGTATAAAATTACAGTACTGTATTAGACTTACGGTACCTAATTTACATACTGACAGACGATAGTTAGCGTAAAAATCTCCGTAGCGTGGCGCCACGCTAGACGGCGGAAATTATATATTTAATTATAATAAAGTTACAATAAGTTAATATATAATTATATATACAGTACCTAATTTATATATAATTAATATATAATTATATGTACAGTACCTAATTTATATATAATACTGTACAGACGATAGCAAACTCAATTTAGCCGCTCTGTAGCGTAGCGCAGGGCGGAGGAAAGTAGTTCGGCTGCTCATCCACTATTGGTCCAGATTCTATCAATCTTGTCGCGAAACGAGTTGGCAACGACGTTTTAGGAGCTCTTTTAAACGAATGTTGCTGCAATTTTTTCGCTACGTTATAGGAATTTCCGTTATAGGAACGCACGTTATAGGGGAGTCAACTGTATTGTACACAATTTCACAATAACGAGAACAGTACAGGCCCAAAATGGGGGGAGCGACAAGTTACGTCATTCGTTTACTTTTATGCTCGGCCGCACTCGGTAATCCGGCACGCGCCGGATTAGCGAGAGTGCGCGTGTATAACTTCTGCCGGATGGCGGAGCAAAAAAAAAATGTAAAAAGAAATAAATAAATTGAAGATGTTACGCTCTCAACTTTTTAAACACGAAAGTAACATTAAATCCATTTAAATTAGAGGATTAACTCTTGTTTGAAGCAATATTTTTAAAGAAAATCAAGTTTTTAATTCCCGAATGATATATTTTCAAAGGGGAAAAATTTGAAAAAAATAAAAAGAAAAAATTAAAAAGAAAATAAAAAAATGAATCTTTATTTTTCTAAATTTATCTTCATTCTAGATTAATAAAGTTTCTATTTTACGATTAATTTGTAACACTAAAAAAAAAGGAAAAAATTACAGAATTTAAATAATCTTAATTTAGTCCCTGTCAAAATTGAGCTTAAATAATGTGATTTAAATCAAATTTACTTTTTTTTCCTTTTATTTATTTATTGATCGGCGCTTTTTAAAAATAATATTAGAGGATAAAAATAACAAATTTTAATGATGACATAAAATAG